CTGGGCCATTTCTTGACTGGTAGGAAGATGCTGGGTGTAGTTTGCCGGATAGACTGCCTCAAGGGTAGGAAGGAGGGCTTCATTAATAAAGTAGGCCACTTGTAGACTGGTCAAGAAGGGTGAGGTAGCCTTGACATCTGTAATCAGCCGTAGGAAGCAAATAAAAAGAGTTGCACGACTCTCAAATCCCTCTACCTGGCTAATATTATAGTGTAGAATTTCGCGGGGTGGACAATAGGTGGTGTGAGTTCAACCGGCTGTATCCTGAAAGGTAACCTCAATCTAATGATGCTGGTCTAGTTGTAGTGTGTGAGCAGGTTAATAGGTAAGTGTAATATAGATTCCCTGTCTAAATGCCTCAGCTGTGTAGGTAACTCCAATAATACTGTCCATATTATATACCAACTCAGGCTTAACATTAGGCTTCACTTTTATGGCCTTGTAATGAAGATAGACATGTGGAGGTGGCGCCTCAGATACACTAGGGTTGATACCACAGAACAACCGGCGGAGATCAACAGCCCTAGGGGTAGACAAGAGAGTGATCTCTTATGGGACCGGAAAGCTAGAGCTCTTGAGACCAAAGTTTAAGCTTGGGAGGTTCCGGTGGGTATAGGTAGTTCAGAAGGGCGCGTGAGCACTATAGCCTTTAGTCTTGGACTTTTGGGCCTTAGTGTGGTCAGTATAGGCACAATTATATGTAGCCACACTACAACTTTGACAGCTGGCGTCGGTAAAGAGCTAATAGATAAATTTGGCTGTCTGCCTGATTGTCGCAGGATTGTCGGAAGGTAGAGGGAGGTTCTGGGCGTCTAGGGCGCCACTCACTCACTTGTCAGGATCAAAGCCTTGTCCGGCAGGACAAAAGTCGTCATCACTATTAGCGGCTGATGATATAGACGAGATAGTCTGACCAAGGTCTGATAGGGTGCCAGGAATAGTGTTATCATCTGACAGAAAGTTGTACTCTGTATACTCTTTATCTAGAGGGCTTATAGGGGGAATAGTTGCGGTCTGAATTAGTAAAATAGGACACCTCTCCTGTGTTATAGGTTGCTGTGGTGGGGCCCGAGTACTAGTAGCTCTGGTACTGGGTGCCTTGCTAGGAGGGTGTGTTGGTGGCACTGGTGAAGGTGTAGTATACTCTATATCAGAGTCCTCTTCAGAGCTGAAGTGCTAGGTTTGACAGACTCGACGCTTAGACAAACGAGGTTCGCCACTAGAGGATAGAGGGCCAGGGCGCTTAGTGCTGGAGCCGGTTATCTTGGCTGATTCTGATGGCAGTCTGCGGGAGCTAGCGGTAGTAATAGGGGGCCGGGTAGATGGTCTTAAAAGAGCCTGACAGACAGTTTAGATGGGAACACAGTGGTCAAGAAGGCGCCAGTTATGGCCTGGTGCTGGAAAGCGAGGGAACAGTGTGTGAAGTGGAGGTTTGCTGACGGCCCTGTCATTGAGTTAGCAAGTTCTGGTATTTATATTTCAGGAGGGTCTAGAGGAGTTTACAATTGTGGGTGGCCCTGGTAAGGCCTATGTGCATACTGGGCGATAGCAGCCTCAAGTTAGGAAGGGGCTGTAGACATGTCGAAGCTTGAGATGGAAAAGGTAGAGAGTAGGGCTAGACTCGGGTATGTGGGAAAATAGTTACAGAGGAGGCAAGGAGGCATTGGCCTAACAAGAATGTAGCACAGACAGCTTTATAGGACTCCAACTGTCCAAAGATCAACCCAACCAGCACCCAATCAGCAGGGGAGGGCTGCTCTTTAACCGCCTAGTCAGATTAGCCAGGCTAAGCAGATCAAGGCCAATTGGCAGCTGATATAACACATCAACCTGTGGCCATGGCTAGGATGGTGAACCTAGTGTGCCATCTAGAGCTAGGGTAGGGGGTCTAGATATAATGGCCCTAAGATTGCAACCCTAGGCCTAAACAGAATCAGAGGTAATTTCAAGGGGTAATAGTGTAGGGGATACTCCAATCCCTATACGTCTCTAGACACAGGTATTGAATTGAGTAGGATAGTTATTGGTAAGGCCCAAAGGCTGCTGTCAACTTTGTACTTAGATAGATGTCAAAATAGAGGGTTACGCAAACCAATACTTCACACTGGAGCCCATCTACTGCGCTGACAACAATGACAACCACAGATTGTGCATGTTGACAATCTTGTGCCAGAGGCGAAGGGTCTGCTCAGCATTAGTAGCGCCACAGTGTCTACCGCAGTTCAGCTCTTCATAGTGTTCGCTGAGTTCGCGAAGGCTGAGGGCTGTTGAGGTATCCCGTACAACTGCAACAACATCCTAGAGGTCAATGTTAACCATACATCGCACATCCTTGACGAGCTTCCACTCATCTTCAAGCTCTTTCTTGAACTTCTACTGGCGCCTGCGCACAATCTATAGGTCTGCAGCCTCTTCTTTAGACAGTGCCTTTGCTTCCGTGTGGTCTAGAGGTGTTAGAGCAGATAGGCCAAGAAAGGGTATCTCAACATCCATCCAGGACATGTAGTTATCTCTACAGGCAGCAACTTGAGCGGCCAGGCTTGCACAGTCCTTATCGTTCAGTGAGCGCGGAGAGACTGCGGGCAAGCCTGTAGGTATGACAACACCAGTGGGAACAGAAGCGGCTACTGGCACTGGCACTGGCAGGCCCAATACTTGTTGCGCGGCTACAGCCTCTTTGGCCTATTGTGCCACCAGCTTAGCCTTAGCCTCTCTACACACTTCCTCCCAACTCTTCTGTATTCTCAAGCCAGGCAGTAACAGACAACCGGAATCAGCTAACCATTTATAGTTGTTAGCCATTCCACAGCTAACCACAATAAGGAAGCCGTGGCACTGGATCTTTGTGACCATTGTATTGACAAGCGCGGCCCCAAGCTCAGTAAGTGGCACGCACTCTGGCACGCTGGACCACTGTTTATGATAACATGACTAATCGTCCGCAGGAAAGTGAAGGGAGGTCAAGGTGTGCGCTTTGTGGGTGCAGTATACCGCGTCACCATGGAGCTCACGCTCACACTCCATGGTTAAGTTGGGGATGTGGGCGTGCTCGACAACTTTGAGCTATCGCATAGCTACAGGCGTGGGGAGGTTGTTGTATAGCTGCTGTGTGATAGCCACCTCAGTGACGTTGCAATGGTTGTCTTTATTGGCCTTAATGTTAACAGCAATGGTGCGACGGGAAGGCCTGCTGAGGTCCCATGCCTTAATATAAGCGACTAATGCCTCACAGCGGCGCTTCTACTTCCACTGGGTGACAGTCGGCGGTGGATGTGGGATTTTACGGTGTAGCTATAGTATAGGGGCAGAAGGGAGACTTAGGAGGTTAGAGGGTAAGAGAGTGAGGGAGTTAAGGTATTAGGTGGCATCGTTGATAGATAATTGCTCGTGGTGTCAGAGGTGGTCAAAAGCAGGACGCAGGATGTAATAGAGCTACCAGAGGTCTAGATCACGCCATAATTAGCAGTTGTGTCTAGAGCACAGAAAAAGGGCAGCTCATGGGGATCTATCGCCGCGAGCACGGATATAAAGGCTGTGTTATAGGCTGCGGTCTTTGAGATACTCACTGCCGCACGCTTAACGACGACATCATAAAGCTGAACTTGCATGATAGTGACAAAGCCACCACCACTGCGTCGGTCGTTTGCGTTGTGGGGGATGTGGAACTGCGTGGCAAGCTGGTGAACTTTGGCTTTTGCTGGCGTGCCTGTATTATCAAGCAGCTGTAGCAGCTCTCTCTTGAACAGAGAACAAGGGGGCGGCAGTTCAGTGTCCATAGTTTGTCACGCACGACAGGCACAGGGATACAGCGTAGAAGTTGTCAAGAATCAAAAGAGGTTGGTCAAGGGGGCAGGGTAGAAGAGATATACGCGGTAGAAAGAGCACGGTCTAGAGGCCCAGGCACAACGCGCCAAGGGTTTATACCAAGACTGCCTGGATTTGCGCGTTCACAACAACCAGGGTGACTCGTCAAGGCAGGTATACTCAAGTAACAATTTCGTGACACAAATGGTTGATTATATGTTACCTGAGGAACAGGCACAGGCTGGTGCAAAGGTGATGTGTGTGGCCGGCCAATCAGCGGATGCTGTAGCTTGGCATATTTTAAAGGGGCAGTCCGCTTAAGAAGTTACACCAAGCCTTCACAAGCCACCTGTACCAAACACGTTGGTGTGTTGATTACTATCACCATTTCATCCTTAGTTCACAAGGGCAGAGAAGCGTATTTAGTACTGTTCCTGCTTCGTATTGGCATACATCAGTGTTGTTTTCTTCTTGGTTACGTTAGCATTACCGCCCTCAACATGAAGTTCTCCTTTTAGGTTCAGCCTAACCTGTGGAGCCTTTTGGCCATCCGCGCTAGAGTAGCCGAATCCCTATTGTCCTCCAGCGCCGCCACAGCCCTCCACCCTCTTGTGTCCTCCACCCTGCCTCAATCGTCCACCTTGATACATCACGTCCGAAGCCGCAGCTCTACTTTCCCTGCGCCAACCACAGCTGCACGCCTCCTATCTATTGCTCGCCGCGGGTAGTGACCGGTACCGATGGCGCCAACTAAGGGAATAGCGGGTCAGAAGTGACAATATCCGACTAGTGGAGACCTCAACAAGCCTGTACAGCCCAAGAAGCAGAAGCGCCAGATAGCAAAGGAGCCCACACTAGAAACTTCTAACAGTGAAGCCAGCAGCGAGGATGCCATTGTGCCTAAGGCCAAGGGCAAAGGCAACACCAAGACCAGGACTGTCGCAAAGAGAGAGGAGTGCCTGTACTGCAAAGAGAGCCATGTTATGAAGCAGCTGATGCGGCACATGTCACGGAAGCATGTTAGTATCTGGCATGAATTAACACAATAGCTGCGCGCGCAAGAGCCCAAGCTGCGAATGAAAGAGTCCAAGAAGGAGTGGTATGTGTACTGCTATGCCTAGTGTCCCACGAAGAATAGAGTTTGGCATTGGAAAGACATCCACCAGATGGTCCCACCGCTGAGCTAATAGGTCTGGATGTCAGATCAAGGTAGCAAGGAGCCTAGACACCACTTCATATGGGGTGAGGAGAAGCTGGTGGACAAAGAATCCAGCAGCATCTCCAGCGCCATAGACATAAATGTCCCAGAGGATGGTGAGCCGCTTCTACTCCCCTATGGGCCCCTACCGGTTCCAAAACCGGACTTCAGAGACCAGCTAGAGCAACTGCAGAAGATCTGCGCTAGAGTCAGAGGTGAGGAGGACCCGGAGGCGAGCGACGAGGACGAAGACGCCAACGATGCTGATGACAATGCTGACGACGATGCTGAGGACGACAGTGTTAACAGTGATGTCAACAGCGAGCATACACGCGAAGAAAATCAGGCAGAAGATAATACCGAGAACGACGATGACAATGTTAACAGCGAGTATACACGCGAAGAAAATCAGGCAGAAGATGATACCGAGAACGACAATGACAATATCAATGGCAGTGAATAGCACGGTCTCGATGGTACAGAAAATGTGGTTAGCGGTAATAAGGACACTCCTGACCGTGTCAAGCCTAAGGGCGCGGCGGCGCCAGCGAACTCCGGTACTCGGGACCTCCACAGCGCACGCTTGAAGCAACAGATAGCGGACATCTCAGACAGAATCTCGGCGCAAGGTCCGCTGCTTCAGCATCGCCCTGGGCGGAACCCTCTGGCCAAGGTCCTCCACCTGCTTTCTAAGGTTAGTGGCTAGCTTGACAGCACTAACATGGGGGACACAATGCAAGAGGCGCGCATAGCCTCCACACACAGGACCGCCACAGCCATAGAGGTGTTAGAGGCCCGTTTAGAGGACGTGGCAGAATCATCCCTGCTAGCGGAGCAAGGACCCGGACTACTTGAGCAGCTGTGTCACGCCTGTGTTGACAACCACACGTGGCTGAAGGATGCGCAGAGCTACTACTACATCCGGAATATCGCGGGCGATAGCGAGATTGTTAACAAGGATCAGTACCATACTGTGCTGGTTACCACAGATGTGTATGCTGAAGAAATCCTCCAGATAGGTGTCCAAGTGCCGCTGTTAATCCCACGGGCGCTATACAGCCGCCCAGGAGAGCTATTAACGCAACAAGACATTAAGGACCGCCTGCGCCGCAAGACCACTGTTAACATACATTTCCAGTCTCGCGCGCGCAAGGATTATATCTATATAGGCACTGACAATAACAAGCCAGTGCAGTCCGACCGGCAGCGTTAACATGCGCTGGTAGATGAGGACTTTATTACCACTATAAAGACTGATTGTCGTTCAGTCTTACGCATACTCAAAGACAACAACCACACCGCGGTTATAAACCTATTGGATCTTCCGCCATTCAAGTTGAACCCAATGATACCCTTTGTCGCCACAGTCAGGGAAATGTCTACAATTCAATGTCTGGTAGGTAGTAAGTAGGCGCTACAGAAGGCCCGGGGCCATGATCCAGAAGGGTTCAAGTCAAAGGCCAAGTTCAGTCTGTATAGGGGAAAGCACAGCTACTCTAAGGTTCATGTTAACACCGCAGGGGTAATCACGGTGATTCATATGAATAAAGGCGACAAACTGTTCCTGCTGTGGCCCTCCATGGACAATACCAATTGAACAGTGTGGATAGACTACACAAACAGCACTTACCCTGCTTATACACTAGTACCTATATGTGTGCGGACAGGAGACACATTAGTGATGCCTGCTAGCTACGCTCACGCGGTGGTAACATTAGAGAACTCCCTTTGCATGGGAACAATACACTAGCACTCGGGAATAATGGATATACACATTACACAGGCGACCTGGGATCTGTAAGATGCACAGTCCAGCAACGAGGACCTTCCGCTAGACTTTGAAACTGAAGTTAGGTCTTGAGTGATGTTAGCTGTCAAGGAAGCGACTCTACCTCTGGAGCAGCAGACTTTGCTGTGGCCACAAGACCAAGATGTACTGAAGAATGTCTGGAATGTACGTACCCCTCTTGTATGGGATCCTTATGGCTCAACACTAACGACACTCGCAGGAATTTGCGGAGCTTCTGCGCGGTCTGACAAACAAGGACAAGAGCGTGTAAGGATATAGGTGCTAGACAGGCAGATGTGATAACTGCGTGTGCGTCAAAAAGAATTGTAAGTGTGGCGATGAATGCTATAGGGGCGCGGTCGCCTGCTACAACCAGTAAGGTGTTGGAGGAAGCGAGTCACTGGGGAGATATGTGCCTGTCAACAGGGCGGCACATTGTCGGAACATCTTTGTCTGTTGAAATACCGTGTACAACTAGGAGTGGGCTAGAAGATACTCAAAGCCATGCGACAACACAGAAGACCTCAGGTAGCCATTGACTGAAGGCGGGAGATGGGAATTTTGTTACTTGAGGAGTACTCTATCTACCTCATGACAGCGAATCTTGTCCTGTGCTTGTGCTCTAGCCACCTGGCCTCGTCCGAGGGGTTCGCCCCCGCCCGAGACAAATGCGTCTGACCCTGGCTTGCTCACTGTGTTACCACATCAGGTAGCTCCTCAACACTTCTGCCTCCTCCTCCAACTTCCTCGCTAGCTAAGGCTAAGGCTGACACTGGAAATAATTCAATACAGGCAGTGCTGACAGCACAGATAATTGGTATATAGAGTACACATTAGCACTCAGTAGTTGCGAAACAAGGACAACAGATACTGCAGCTTCACGACACGGGCAACCTATTCTCGCTTCAGCTAAAATGTTAGATCAGCGCCTATATCGTATGTTAACCATTCACTGGTCAGCTTACAAATAGTGTACAGGAGGTGCAGGGGAAGCCCAAAGTCATGGCCATGCTGAAAGTGCCCAAGGGCACAGCCCAGAGCGAGCAGGTGGTGGAGGTAGAGGATAGTCCTGCAGATCTCATCATACATATACCACGGGCGCGCCAGGCAGCCACACATATAGTATTAGAAGTTAAAGATCAAGATTAATAGAAGGACCGCCAGTCGAAGGAAGTTATTGCGAGGAGACGCCCGGCTGTGATCGTGTCTGTTATCAGATGCAGGAGGTGTCAGGAGCCTGACACCTAATAGACTTCCTAGAACGGCTGCTAAAGAAGGGGTCAGGTTACTAGTGTGGTCTTTAGGGTCCAGAAGGCTAATATCAAGATCAGGATTAGCGCTCAACAACCCATCTCAAAACGCAGCCGTATTACTAAGGACCACACCCTTGTGGACCATCTACACCAATAGTCGCATACATCAGGCCAAGTACTGCAGGGCGTATCAGTTATAGCGAAGGATCAGGCGTTCACAGTATTTGTCATGGAGGTGGGCCTTAGGTGCCACACAACTGAGATACTAGTAGGGAGCTGTGTCAAAGTTCAGGTAAATACGCACGCGCCAGCGAAGCAGACAATAAACAACCTTTTGGGGAAGAAAGGGAAGGTCACCCACAATAACATAGAGGTAGACAGTCTCGCGTGTACAGAGGCGCTTTAACTCTTTCAACACAAGGGGTAGGAGCCTCTATTATACGGTAGGAGTGCTATTCTCGGGGCGCTTATGCTCAGTCAACAAGATAAAGAGTGGCGAGGCCACCGACATGTCAAGCCATATAGCATAGGTTGAAATACCCGTATACAAGCCAACAATACAATTCTTGGGGATAACAGACACTAAGATTACACCATAGGCCAAATCGTGCATCAGGTATAGTGTGTTAATACTGAAGCGGGACAGGAAAGCGAGGTTATCAGGTTCAACCAGGTCAACAAGGAGCGCAGCCTCCATCAACCGCTAGGACTTAGACAGTGTCGCCATTCTTGATTCTAAAAGGGGTGTAGGTAGAAGAATCCGCTAGGAATGTGTTATTAGCGGAGTGCCAAGGTTTCTATGTGTGTCACTTGAGGAGTGGTTGCTATAGGCATTTTAGTAGCAGTCAGCGCCAAACGTGTCTTAGCACATCTCTACCTACCTCTTTGCCCACCTTGTTAGTGACATATCATCAAAGTTTTGTACACTGTCAACACTCGACTAGTGCCATCACAAACTCAGATGTCATAGTGCGATTCTCAATAGCGCGAATTAAGCAGCTTCAGAGAAAGAAGGCGAAGATGACTGCTAGTAGGTGGATTGTTGTACGCGTGTGGTAGAAGACTGGGCTAATAGATTTGACAGAAGAAAGCTATTAAGCTAACCAACAGCGGATAGGGAGGCAAGCAACTCTTGCTGCCAAGAATACCACAGGCAAGGTCAAAAAGCCTTGTCGCTATAAGCCAGGTACAGTCGCACTTAGGGAGATACAAAGATACCAGGTAAGAGTTGGAATATGTGCAGTAATAGAAGGGGACTAACTGGCGGCAGAAATCAACCGAACTCCTCATACAAAGACTGCCCTTTATAAGGCTGGTTTGAGATATCAGCAATAACATGAAATCAGACCTACGCTAGCAAGCCAGTGCTATAGGTGCATTACATGAGGCGGCCGAGATCTACCTCACTAACCTTTTCTACTGGTCAGGGGTTTTAGCTATACATGTGAAGCGGGTCACAATCCAGCAGAAGGATATAACACTGGCAAAGATGATAATAAAGGGGACTAAACCTGTGGGAGTATAAAACAACGTATATAGCATCTACGGAGCTAGATTAAATAGATAGTGGTGCATATTAACAGCGTGGAGTTGAGATTGCATTTGGACAAGGATGGAGGAGATTAACAGCTGACTGGCATGGATTTATGGTGTTCTAGATAGAACTACTTGAGACCAGTGAATGAATGATATGTTAAGTAGTTAATAATACTACCTATGATATGCTATGATACTATGTATAACTATGATAAGTGCTCGCTGCGTGTATGTATAGAGTTTATTAACTCTCCTGTAGTCCAAATACAACCTATAACTCACTTGTGTGTACTTGGGTTTTGTAATGGGTGAGGCTTAACCAGAGGGTAGCGTGGTAGCCAAGAGGTTAAGGAGGCGTGAGTGAGTAGGGGCGCGGGTGCCGCTACAAGTGTTTAAGGTACAACTGTGACGATAAGGGTCAGGATAGGAGAGTTAAGGGCGCTTAGCTGGTCTCTACATAACACTGTTAATCATTACATCTATATTAGTGGCACTAGAGGAGGGCCAGGCGGATACATTAGCCTTAAGGCGGGGAGATAATTGGTAACCTACTGATTGTAGAGGAGAATCTCCTCACTAGCGGGTGGGTGTTCTACGTTGGTGTGTGGTAGATAGAGCTGGTTAGTTGTGGCCGGAAGGAGGGTTAGGTTGGGTATTAGTATTAGTGTCTGGGGGGAGGGTGCGTGGTAAGGTTACAGGAGGAGACGCATTATCGGCGGGAACTTCACCCAACACGCGACCGCGGGCGTTGGTAGATGCTATTATCAGTTGTTCAAGCGGATAACCTAGTCGCTTAGTAAAGGTGGCTGTATAGGGCTGTAGTGTGAGGGAGGTAGGCGTGCTGTTAATAATGGGTTGCAGGATAAAGCGCTCCGTAATGTCACAAAGTTACAGCATCTATAGGAAGCACTCTTCCAGTTTCAGGAGATAGATGACCAGAAGGATGTAGCCATAGTTCCAGCGCTGAAGACTAGAGCCCACAGTTAGTTATAACATACATAGCGTGAGAGAGGGCAGGACCATATATCTCGATGGTGTGTGGTGGGAGGAGTGCGATTACACCACAACCAAGCGCCAGGGTAAGCTTATAAAAGGGTTTGCATTCGCCCAGTCAACTGTGGAAGGCTTTGGGGGTGAGGTTCAGCTATGAACAATAGCAAGCCTCAGTAACGTGCGAAAGGAGGTTATGGCCATACCCACTCTCAGTCGGGTAACGAGCTAGGAGCTACGGGATATAGGGCTTAGGATTTGGCCTGGCGCCTCACGCTTGGTCAGCTGGTGACGTGTCAAAGATAATAGACTCCTCCGGCAGGGTGGCGGTAGGGGGTGTAGCGTTACACTCCTCGCCCCCAGGAGACGCGGCACACGACACCGGACAGCCAGTGGTGCCTAAGCGCTTCTTTAACTTCTTGTTGCTGTTGGCCTGCCAGGCGAGATACTCTTCCTTCCACTGCTTGTAAGTGTGAATGTTGTCCACAACCACACGCCAGTCGGCTGTGAAGTCGCACTTACTAATATAGTATAGGATCTGTTGCATATGGCTGGGAGCCTTGGACTGATCTTTGCTGGCCCAATAGAAGGAATCAAGGATGTTACGGATCTGTGTAATATCCTTGTTGTGGGCGGTGGCAGCGGCAGTGTAGTAGGAGAGGAAATTGTCCTTTTGGTGGCTAAGGTAGTCAACAAGCTTTTCGAGCCTCGCACATGTCTTGGGCGACACCAACTGGGCAAAGTATATGGCAATAGCCTCCGCCTTGGCGGGCGTGAATGTTTTGACCACCTCCTTCTTCTTGACAAGCACAGTTGGCCGCAGCTGGAGGATCTTGGCCTAGAGTGCCTCCTTCCCAGCTTGTATAGCCTTGACCGACACGCGCGGGCTGAGGGCGATCGGCGGCTGTAGGCTGGGTTTAAGCCGCAGGCGGATGTGTAGGGACAGTAAGCCGGGGGTGGATTCTCTGCTGTGAAAGGAGCTATCCTCTGACAAAGCCTGTGGTCACTTCTGTAGGACTGGGCCGGACGTGGACACGGGTGATGGCTGTGACGGGACTTGGGTGGGAGACACACGCCAGGATTCTAGCGCAGGGGGAGGGGTCTCTTGCACAGCTAAGGAGGAAGGTGACAGACGCTGGGGGGTCTGTGTACAGGCTGGCTAACCTCTTGCGGCGAAAGACACTAGGTCTAAGGATAAGGTTAAGGGAGGCGCGGTCTCTAGTGTTAAGATAGTAGAGAAGCGCTAATAGATATAGCTCAGGTGGGCCTGCATCTCAGACTTTATATAACTGTTTGTGGTAGTGAGGATTATTAATATAAGATGTGTGAGGGTGGTCTAGCGTGGGTGAGTGAGGCTTCTGGGTGGGCATGGGAATCAACACAAACTATGAAGTTGTTATACTTTAGATGGGACTTGAACGCTGTGGAAGGCATGGCTATAGACAGTCCCCCGATCAGTGCTATGGTGGCTAGGTAACTGGCAGCCGTATATAGAGGTGATATAGGATAGAGAGGATAACAGTGACACTATAGATATACTGGTGTAGGACAGACATTGTTGTGGTCATTAGGTTATAGGGTAGGGCACATAAATTCCGGAGTGAGGCGGAAAGTTTAGGAGAAGGATAGTGCCTGTATAGCGGCTGCCACACTCAAGCCTACAACATATGGTTGAAAAATATATGCTAAAGGTATGCAGATATCTGGCTTGTATAATAAGCTAGCCAACACACTACACTAGGTTACAAGTGTATACGACATATGAATAATAATATAATCCTAGGCCAGTAAGAATAGTGTCACATATACACTACAGACAAAGGCGTGTTAACACATCAACCCAACGCGCCGGACTGAGGTTGGGTAGCCCTTAACACAGATATCCTCAGGTAACCACTGTGTAGTGGGTTATACTGTCAGGCGGTTCACTAAGGAGTGTCAAAACACAGAAGGAGCTTAGATAGGGGATCAGTCAAAACAACTGTACTGCATAGTGTGAAGGATACTCTAACGTTTAGTGTTAAGACTGGCTAACTGGCGCTATAGCTGGTTGGTATTAACAGGCGCAGATAGTTCTGGGGGTGGGAGAGGGTGCTGAAGAGCGGCAGAAGACATATAAACAGGACCGGACACAGCTTCAGGGGCGGGCGTAGGCTTTAGGGGGAGGCGGGCGGCTTGATTAGTAGAATAAGTGCTGCTATGGCCTGGAGAGGTGTCACCAGAGGGTCGGCTATGGCGGAGGACGGTTACCAGCGGTGATAGGGTAGGTGAGGCTGGTGAGTTTAGTGTGGCGGTGAGTAGGAGGAGGGGATCTATACTGGTGGTTGTATTGTTAGGGATCAGCTAGGATAGCTTGGTGTTGGCAAAGATAGTGTCAAGGATCTGGTAGCTTAACTTTTGCGACCGTGCAGCGTTTAGTGAGACCGAGGGCTGGTCAACGGGAAGAGGTTGCTGCTGACCAGACACTAGGTTGCTTAATAAGTACTAGCCATAAGGGAGAGGGGACAGTCTACCCACTGAGGCTAATGTACACGCGCATAATAAAAGCGCCAGTCGGGTCAAAGTCAAACAAGCCTTCTATAGCAGTCTTAAGATGTTGCGCGTGTATATAGCCAGGATCCTGTCTATATAGTGAGGAGAGTGTCTCAATAAGGGAGGCCACCAAACCTATGGGCCAATAGAGCCGATCGCCTCTTTTGCCCTGTTAGATGTAGACTTTGCTGGCGAAGGAGAGGCTAGAGGAGGAGACACTGGCATAGTGGCAACAGCAGTATAGGGGTAGGCAATTGACAGGCAACAATAGAGAATGTAAGGGGCACAGTATCAGGGGCGTAAGTGTGTAGAAAGCATATAAAAAAGCCGAATAGTGGCCTGGATAGTTTTAACACTTCACGGTAATAGCAGGTAGACAGTAGACAGATGGTAGTTATGAGTAGGGTGGAAATCATGTAATAAGGTTCAGCAAAGACAGTAGGTCTCCAAGTGCATTATACTACCTGTGGTTCCATAAGGTGGAGTGCTATTATACAGTGTACTCTTATCCCAATTTACCGGAGTGAGAATCAAATAGGTATTTAAGACAGATTCTGGAAAACCTTCGCGTCAGGTGCCCTCTGTTTAGCACCTACCTAGATAAGTGGCCAGCCTCCTTGGTTACATAGTCAGGATGACAAGTAACAACCACAGTGTTAGGGTAGGACAATATAGCGACATCATTAGTAGTTAGAACTCGAGACTAGTTCTGTTGTGATTCTTTATAGGTAAACTCGTTTAGACATCAGTGTGGTCAGATAGATGATTTGCCAGCTGCACCAATAGTAGGTTCCTAGGAAGACACATCAGGCGAGAGGAGATCAATAGTTTCAGGTTGGGTAGTCTGCTTTGGCACAGAAGTAGAGGTATTCTAGCGTGACAAAGTGAGCTTAGAGATCTTTGGAGTCACTTTACGGATAGATCTCGCGGCCAAAGAGGAAGTTGATAACCCTACCCGCTTTAAGTTTCTATTAGCAAACACCCTATTAATGGCCTCTTGGCCTGCGTGGCGCTTGGCTGGCACTTGCGAGGAGGACAGGTATCAACTGGAAGGAGGCCGAGGCTATGAAGAAACACCGCTGATCTGCTCGAACTGTGCATTATTGTTGTCATTATCAACTTCCTACTTGGCATTACTGGTATAAGCGGGGTGGTGACAACATCGCTGCCAGGGTAGCTCACACCGCGGCTAGACAATAATAGTGTCAGTATCTTCCTGAATTATGCCTGTATCTAGGTTCTCACTGGCCGCAGCAGGTGAGGAAGGGCCGGTCAGATTGTTGAGCATGTTAACCGGTTCTTTATCAGGGAATAAGGGTCTAAATTCCTGCTGTGGAAGTGGTAGTGGGCCTGTCAGGGCAGTTAGCTAGTCTTGGGTAGGCTCTTGGCTTGACTCACAAGAGGCTTGACAGGAGTGAACTGTGTCTGGGCGCTACATTGGGACCTCAAGCGAGAAGCTTGTAGATCAAGCGTCTGTGTTAGACCGCAGGATGTCTAGACACTGCACTGGCGGGCTTAGAGGAGCAGGCACATCTTCCATATTAAGAGGCTAAGACTGTCCAGGGACTTGTGTGGAGGGGCCAGGCGCGGGCTCAGAACAGTGAGAGGAAGGAGGGGGGTCAAAGGAAAAAGGGACAGGTGTAGGCTTAGCTGACTTGTTTCAACGGGCTTGGCGAATAATGTTGTTAATGCTCATATTGCTGTGTCTGGTCATGCGGCGTGCGGTAGTAGTGGTTTTACACTCTGGCTGGTAAAGGCCTTTATCCTAGCCCTGTTAAACAGCGGGTAGGGCAGGAGGGTTTTGGGGCTGGTCTTTAGTCAGATTGCCTGTAGCAGGAACATCCTTAGACGAGCTTAGGCGGGGAGATATACTCTGTACGAGAGTGGAAGAAGCAGGATCTTGGCTATAGCAGGCTGGAAAAGAGAGTAAGCTGACAAATACTCTGGTGTTAGATATCAGTACATACCTTTGTAGAATACAGTGTTGTAGGCACGTCCTGAAATATCACAGCGGTAAGACTCTTGAATCAACAGCTTGAGCTTCTAGGTTTGGGTTAGGTCACAGGCGGTAGAGGATAATAGAGGGGAGATGTACAGAGTAGAGGGTGTCATCTGAAAGCTGACGGGGATTGTTAAGGTTGTCTATGGTCGGCGACTGCTAAGTGGACAGTGGGAGCAAGGCAAGGTAGTAACAGTAAGCCTACTATCAAGTACACAAGGAAGAATCAAGGAGAGGTTGTGTAGTATAGTGTTTGATTTCAAGTGGGCTACACTTTTATAAACAAGGAGCAGCCTTACTAAGACCTAGTGTCTAATATACCTGGGCCTGTTGTTTATAGATCGGCCACTCCTGGTACCTAACTCTAGACTACCTTACTGACGCGATCGTGAAGCTGTACTGCTACTCTACATGTACATTTCCTATGTTGGGCGGTCAACAGTATCTTGAACCTTAATCCTGTATCCTATTCTACTTCCTCCTTTCTCAACTGTAAGTTTACAGGGCTCCTGGGGCGAGTATTGCTGATCCTTGACCCTTAGATCTGGCCGGAAAGATAAATGTGGTGTGCACCTTTTGCTTCGAGTCCTTTATAGACAACAAGAAGCTGCACAAGCACAAGACTCGTGTACAAGACGATCGTTACCACTATTGTGAGGTCTGCCGTCTGGACTTTGGCAGCGCAAGAGAGCTGGCAGGGCACCAGATGGTAGACAAGATTAAACATGGTAAGTCCCTTGTGTGTTGGCGTTGGAACGCGGGCTAACCACAGTCAGGCCATTGTCCCGATTGCAGCTTTATCTGGGACGCTGCGCGCTCTGGCCAGCGCTTATATAATAGCCACCTTCCCAGGGTAAGTCTCGGGCTGTGTGTGAGGAAGAGAAGATAGACTGACTGGAGGAATGTAGTGCCCAGGCGCACTGGTTATGCTATTGTGTCCGGGCTGCAAAGTGGCCATTACCAGGGTGGGTGAGCTTATATGTCATATTGAAGGAGGATATTGCCCGGTCATCACCCAAGATGCGTGGTATTGCCGTTAAGGAGAGCAGAAGATGGATAACAATAAGGCTACACAGCAGCGCAGCTTTAAGGCCAAGCTGGTTCACACAAAGATATACCCAGCTTAGATTAAACAGGACAACTGGCTAGAGGAAATGAGGAACCCCAATCTATACAAGGCTCAGGATGACGAGTCAGTTAGCATTACGAGCTCGCTAGAGCACAACACGGCAGAGGAGGAGATGAAGCGGGCTGTGTAGGGTGAGGTGCATGGCAAGCCGGCAGAAGACAATCAGGTGGGCTAGCTCATGCGTGCCATAGGCAGTCTGCGAGTGTCTGTACCTCCTGGACCGGGTGATGGCAATCTGGCTTATCAATTTGATGTAGAGTGTGATCTGTGGGTGTGCGGTCGCCAGCAATGTCAAGAAATGTTCCGCAATGCGGCAGCACTGAGAGCTCACGAGTTGGACGAGATAAACCACCTCGGCTATACACAAGCGTGTCCTTAATGTTTGGTATAAAAGGAGAAAGCTTTCTAGCTGGTCACTCACATGGTGGCGGGAAGTAAACGTTGTAACCTGCGCAATAAGGCTAGCGTTGGCGACCATGTGGCGAAACTGTCTGCGGGTTTAGTGGGCAAGGTCTGTGGCAAATTCGTTGTGCCGGTCAATAATGTCTGGACAAGGATGGGCGAAACTGTATACCAGTGAGATGGGCGCGGAATCCTGTCTATACTAGTGTGGCGTTAGGGTGTGGTGTCTCTATATTAGGGTATGGTGACAATAAGGGATAGGGCCTTCCCGCTTGGTACCTAGATAGAGACCGAGGAGCGGCAGTAAGGTCCTGAGTAGATCCCCGTAACATACTGTATCCGACATATGTATGAATAGAGATCGTGTTGAGACTGTGCATCAAAGTACCCAGTGAAGAAGTCCTCTAGTAACCGTATGGTGGTGCTCAGTCCTCATATATTGGTGACCTGAGTAGTATCCCTCTCCTACTACTGGGGCTTTAAAACTATCTATTAGCAAAGGCACACTTAGACCCTAAGGTGTAAGGGCTCTTAGACGGGCTATAGAGCGGCGCCGTCAAGATCACGTTCATATATACACTTAGTGGATGGGGTATTTGATTATGATCGTTTGTGATTCTGGCCTATCAAGAAGCTAATCTATAAGCTAACCCTAACAGACAATCCCCTAGGGATTTGTATATCCAGACTACTAATAGCCTAGGCTGGGCCTAATAAAGCGTGGGATGGCGCCGATCAGTTAGTGACATAGTGTTTTAACATATCAGATTATAGAAAGTGGGCCGTAGTAGACAGCCGCTGTTACAGCACATGAAGTCTGACCATAGGTGTTAGAAGGCGGATGAGATGATATAGGGAGTGTGAGGATGGAAGGAAGGGGAATGGTGTGGTGGAAGGCGGCAACAGGGACCTTAAGAACAGTAGATATAGCTAACCTCTCTCGCGATCTCAGGGTTATCTGGTATGTGACGGGTGACCGCCGCAGTGTAAGTGTCCCGGGTGGTGGTCAGCATGCTAAGGCAGTCTGAAGGCTCGCTAAGATTGATATTATCTAGCTTAACAGGGTGGCTGGCGGCCTATTGCTTAAGAAGATGTTTGCTGATGATACTGAGGATACTATTGATCTCGGGAAGGGCGATGTGGATGTTGCTGAGGATGCCGCAGGCAATAAGCTTGGCAGGATTAACACGCTTGAGACTAGGAACAGTCAGTAGGTGATCTGTGAGATAGAGGGTGGGTACTTACTAATACAGGGCCTCAGTGGTAAGGAATATATAGATGCTAGCGCCAAACTCAGCGGCGAGGTAATCGACCAAGGCGTTGTGCAGGTAAGAGGTATCCTGTAAGGTGCCACTGGTACTGAAGCAGATGGTGTACCACTCCTTGACCATGCTATAGAGGTTATCTGGATAAGCTTAAAGGGAAGGGTGGTTGTTGGCGGTGCGCAAGAGCCACTTGTACCAAGTAGAGCGGAGAGGCTCAGCGACCTAACTGTCACTAATAGCCTTGTAGATTTTATGCTTCTGGAGGTATACAAGTGCAGTGGTGAGCTGCTTCATGGCCCCGGAATGTTGAGACTTGATGTCTGTGCTAGTGACTTGAAGGTATTCCATGAACTGTGGATCAGGAGGGAGGTTGTGCTGACAAACAACATCTGCACAGAAGTTGTTGAGCTTCTGCGCCATGAGATTATCTGTCCGATGGTTGCGGCATGCAAAGATGACCTTCTAGATGTGAGCAAGGGCTTTACCGCTAAAGAAGTGCTTATTAAAGAAGGTCCAGATATCGTTCATGTTATTGTTGGTGAGCAGAGCACTCTTGCTACTACAGAGATTGCTGGCCAGTTGGAATGGGCGGTTCAGGTAGTTGCTAGAGACCACGCGGAAGCGACACAGAAGTTCAACAGAGCTTATGGTACCTGTAGGTACAATGGCTTGTGGATAAAGCATGTAGCCTTTGGGCGATACTTGCTCATTAGGGACAGGAACCACCGCCTCAGGGGTATTACTAGCTATAATCTGGGGGTTGAGGAGACTGGCAATGGCTTCAGGTAGACCCTGGGGCCCGGCGCCGCCGGTGGCAGGGGTATTGCCAATGAAAATGCCGGCCGCCTTCAGATACTCCATAATATACTCATCACCAATGCTAGCAGACTTCATACACCATACGAGGTGGTTGACAATGGCTTTGATAACAAGAGCAGTCTCAGGACTATATTCCTTGTATTGTGGTCCTTACTCGGAGGGGATAAGGTACTTAGAGAGCAAGGACTCAGTGTTACTGTAGCCCTGTGATTGGTAAGCAGTGAACAAGTATACGGGAGAGGAGGACTGACTTTACAGATCTAGAAGAGACAGTACATCTTGATATCTTTATCTGGCATGTCACAGGTGCGGTTAATAAGTGTTTCACCGGCGTTCTCAATTTTAAGAATTTCACGGTGGATCTCAGAGGGAGCGTCAATGACAAAAGCGTCAGGACCCTGGTAGTCAGGCGCCGACAGCAAGTAGTTAGGGACCGCCATTACAGTGAAAAGAAGGTAGCGTTTAGGAAGTGGATAGAGGAAGAATGAGGTAGAGGAAGATAATATAGAGGAAGATAAAGGTAGAGGAAGATAAAGGTAGAGGGAAGAGGGTGTTAGAGAGAGTGGTAGGACAGAGAGAAAGATTTATTAACAAGAGCAAGAATCATGAGTCATGGTGTGATTAAGGCAAACATGTGTCCAGATTAACGCCAATCATTTTACCATGACACCTAATTGTAGGAAAATTCAATCACAGCCCAAGTTGCCTAGGGAATGAAGGCCGCGACCGCAACAATTATATTTTGTGATCTAGAGGCAGAATATTGGCGATATGACGCTTGATCCAGTGATTTAACTTGCTACAACATTAACTCGACAGATTGCAAAGGCGATAGCCGCTCCTCTAGGTGTGATATTAGGCTGCAGGGTATGTTTAGGAGGCAGGATGGTCTTTAGGTAACTATCTTGGTGCAAGGCGACAAGGCGAAAAGGTTACCTGCGGACTGGTGCCAAGCCATGAGGCAGGTCATGATCTAAGTAATCGGGTGTTAGAGGCTAATAGTGTGCTGTGATTGGTCCTGATCTATAATGTATGATCAATGGGATCAAATTAGAATTGATCAAGCGTGTGCTAGATTAGGTCACTTAATATTACCGGCGGATTTATCTGTCGCAACGTTGCGTTAAATTCGGTTGTACCCTTCTTACAATATAAGCCACGCATTACTCTTCTTATACTGCACTCTGTTAAGATAGAAGCTGAGGCTTAAGCTGAATATGTCCGTAATAACACACGGCTAGTACAGGCGCACAATGATAAGAAGCTGGTGGAGAGGATTGTTGCTGTTACCTGTGCTACCTTTGAAACTAAGACAGATCTCTGAGTTGATGAACTTGATATGCTGGCCGACAGTTTGGTGCTGGTGCATGCGGTCAATGTAAGTTGTAACTCTAATACTCTACAGGCACTGAGCACTGACATAATTAGCTAGCTGGTAGAGGACTCATGTTCGCTAAGCGACTGTGTGAAGCTAACGCTAATAGACCGCTAGAGGCGATACAGTGGTTGATAGTGTTCATGGTGTGAGGAAAGTGTCCCTCTTGGTATTGAGTGGTGTGATGCGGTATATACTGACAATATTACAGTAGCTGCTGATACTACAAAAGAATGTGGCATAACCGTTCCTAACCAGACTGATACCACAGAGACCACACAGATAGAGGGCACCTATGACACACAGGGAGCAGCGGATACATTTGAGGCCAGGGCAGAGGGTGAGCCAGGCGTGGCGCTGATGGCAGCGACTGACTATTATGTTATCTTCAAGAACGGGGTCTGGCGGGTGGAGTAGTAGGTGAGGATAGCAGACCACTATGGTGCAGGTACGATGTGCCACTGGGTATTGCAGCTAAATCTGGGAAGATGTAATCAGAAGGGGTAGGCAAAGATACTGGCTAGCTACTCGAAGATAGTACCACTGGTAGGACCCGAATCATAGTCTGAAGATCCACAGTGAATTTATATTCTCTGGTAACACTAGCCAAGGGCTGGGTAATGGTACATGGTGTGTATTCTGACAATAACTCTATCTAACTAGAGCAATAACATGTTCGTATGGTCGCCTATAGCTTGTGGTAGACCATAAGGTAAAGGTCATATAGGCCCTCTGGCCACTATTTGCCTTTGTTGGTCAATACCTGTGCCATAACTCGTATGTTTAGTCGCTTTCTTAGAGGTTTGTAGTGCCAGCCATCCTTGCTTTTTTCCACGGCGGGCTCCTTGAGGTACCGACTGACAAAGTGTCCACCGGGGACAAATGTTTCCCTGAAGGTCGCCCAGCAGGGCTAGTAGGTAGCTTCACTAACAACGCTGTGGCGGCCGAGGAGGCAGGCGCGAATAGTGAGCGTGTCCTGTGCACCACGCTTCTGCGCCTCCTTAGGGGTGAGTGGATTACCAAAAGTGATAGCCAGGTAGCCGGGGAGGCGGTTAACTTATCAGTGTTGGGAGGGAATGTGAGCACACTACTCACCATTAGTGTAGGGCTCCTGCTGGGGGGGGAGTTGCTTTTGATCGAAGCGGGCGTCCACAAATGCCTGGATAGTCTGAGGTTTGCCAGGGGGGAAGCTGGAGGTGCTGATAACAGATACGCGGGAGAGCCCGCTACTAGAGACAACCGGGTTATTATTGCAGCAGGTCAAGATCTTGATCTCGGACCAGGAGAAGATAGGGAAAAGAGGGAGACAGAATCTGGCCAGGGTGATAACACTGAGGTTGCTGTAGGCGGTGTTAGCATCTTTATAGCCCTTGTACTCAATATAGGTGTTGAGGATCTTGTCACAGATGTCATTGACTTTATTATCGTTTAGCAACTCACTCCAAACCTGACGATTCAGTGTTATAATAAGCTAGTGCACAGTGGAGTTGTCAGTGGTCTCGTGTATAAACACATCAATGTTTCTATCCCCACGCGTGATACCTGCTGCTGTGTACCGCAGTAGATACAAGATTGCGTTAATCGCGCACAAGTGATCATAAGCTTGCTGCCTGAAGGGCTAGAGCATGTGGTCAGGGAATGAATCCACAATTGCTTGGCTAACAGTCCTGTCAGGTTAGTCCCATTGCACCGGCAGAGGTAGGAGGAAGAGGAAGGGCGGTTCATTGTCCGATGCTTGCCATACAACAGGAAAGGGGGTGGATAAACAGCCAAGTTAGATGGACTGCGTGGCGAGGCTCTGTAGTGTATTGTTATCAATCTTTACAGTTTCTTTTATTGTTTTGATCTTATCAGGCCGCAGGTGGAACACATAGGTCCAGTTACCTTTATAATTAGAAGATACTCTGTTGTATGGTGTTAGCTGGAGAGAAGACAAGGAAAGGGGTTGTGGTACTAGAAGGTGGGGTACTGGCGGAGGTAGGCTGTAGCGCCGAGGTGGAGGGGAACTGGCTTTAACAACACTATTAATAGAAGAGTTAATTCAAAAGCGATAGGGTATTTGAGGAGAAGGAGAAGGAGCAAAGGGTAATAGTAGGTACCGTGACAACATGTTATAGGCAGAAGTAGTGATAGCCCGCTTTTGTTGTACACACTAAGAGATCTGATTTAATCTGCCTGCCAATATATGTGACATGATTTTAAGATTGTAGACCTCTTAAAATCAAGCCTTCAGATCAACATTGTTAACAACTACTTTACTTTTATCAGTAACACTACATCAGCTACTGTATAAGCCATTCACAGATACATTCTCCTATCACTCTCTAACTACTGTTCTTGGGTACTATAGTGACACTACAGCTCAACCCCGTTTCTACAGCGGTAAATACTGCTGAAGGTCTTGATGGGGAGATGAAGTTGAAGGTATACATGTGGATAGAGCAGCTTATGAATGACTAGAAATAGGAAGTAGGAGAGCATAATAACCTGATTGCCGGTACTGTGGATATAAGCATAATGCACATAAGAGTAACAGACACTAACTCTAGCAGGTAATAGTGGCAGTGGCTAAGTTCGCACAGGAGTGGAAGCAGGACTTTGGTTCGAATGCGGTTATATTCACTGATATTGCTATCTCAAGTGTTATAAGTGGTATGTCACGGTTCTTTATGCTGGTCCTGGTACTAACTGGTTTATAGTGGCTACAGCAGAGTTGCCTAATGCCTTCCCACCTGATGGGACAACTCTTCAAGAGCCCGCTAAAGAGTCCCAGCAAGAAGCTTCAGTACAGGCGGAACAGGCTTCGGCACAACCCTTCATTATCAGTGACTCTACCTCCAAGGCGGGTAACCCCTTTACCACCCCACATAAGGCGGTCATCACGAACAAAGAGGGCTCGCACTGATCAAGCGCCGGCAAGACAGTGCACTTTGAGAAGCAGATCAAGGACCCTCCCTTCAAATGGGCCTAAGCTGAGTGTGTCTACTCCACCACTAACAACCTGTAGATATACTAACCAGTTGATCTAGCCAGGTATTGAAATGGGCAGGTGTGATAAAGATGGATTGATAGAACTGGATGTATCACTTCTGGACTGACTCCTCTAACTGCCTTGTAAACTACTGGGGGTATATAGAAGATGTGGTCTGCCTGTATAGGCTAGACAGTACATACTTGGGAATAAAGATTGTTATTGCATTGCACTGTGCTGTTCTGTAGTGACCGGATAACATTACGTTGAAGTGCTAACTGTGATTAACAAGGCTGAGGCAGTCTCCTGAAATCAACAGCCTTGGCCCCACTTTGGCGATATGATCGAGCGCTTGATTAATAACCTGCCTTGTGCCATGGCAACTAATCCCGAGGGCAAAGGATCAACTGATTAAGCGCGGGTTGCGATCACTCGAGGTTGATCTACAATGTCACTACCCTGTGTTTACATCAACTAGCGTTAACATCCGCCTTTAAATATAGGCTATAACCAAGCATCTTCTTGTCCTCGCGTATACCTTAACCTCTCTGCTTTGATATCTAGTCTGATAATCTTCAACTCCTTTAATCCCCTAATTCTCCTCTACACTCTAACTTTCTTCAACATGCCTACTGTTATGACCGATGTTTCACGCAAGCTTGTGATTAGCCAGAAGATTGAGGCCCTTGACAAGAGTGACTAAAAGGTGGTATGGGAGACAGTTAAGGAGAAGATTGCCGCGTGGAGTGTGGATGACATGAAGAATCCAGGTGTTGCTACTGATATCTGTGAGGTAAGTTAAGTACAATGTATCTAGCTCATATCTAATATGAACAGTTGGTATACAGGACCTTTACATTTATGGCCAAGTATAGCAGTGTTCTAAAGGGTGGTGCTCCTGAGGTGTTACAGGCTGCTGTGGACCTCAACCTTAGCTATAAGTCACAACTGTTTTGTAGTTCATTGGCGTGACTAACTAGCTTATAGTGGCCAACAAGTACTTTACCGATGCTTTCCTGGAATTGTTGGTCATATATGACACTGCGGTCATGGCTATAGGCTTAGATACTACTAAGAAGTCTAAGCGTACTTCAGGCGGCCACAGCCCGTGGTTTGTACCTGCTCCAGCCCCAGATGCGAATACTCAGACCACTGGAGAGCCTACAACAGTTAAAACCCAAGCTAGTGCTGGCACCTCCCCTACAGTCAACCTAAAGTGTACCTTCTCAGCGACCGAACAGGGCTCGCCTGCCAATAACAAGTGTCCTGCTACCAACATCTCTTGTATCGGCCAGAGCCCTACTGTAAAGAACTGGGGTACTGGTGTTCTTGACTTGACTGGCGCTGCTACCCCGCCCCCTTTCCAATATTGGAAGTAGTAATAGCATCGGGTAAGTTCGCTAACTTGACAACTGAGGAACTAAGCGCTAATGGACCTAGGTCTGTTAAGGAGTTCTGACTCTCAAGCATATTTCCCCATTAACTTCCTTCTTTTTCCTCAACGCTAATCTCTCGCGCGGATAGCTATGGTGAGCAACAGTTAACTAATGTTAGATAGATGAGACTGATAATAGTACCAGCGGGTAGACTGGTATCAACAAGAGGCATGTTTCAACCATCAAGTGGCGGGTTATTGTGGGCAGGTATTTAGTGGGGCAACCTTCTTGGTTAGCTAGCTTCAGAATGACACCGACGATCTCAAACGTTTCTTTACCAACATTCTAAGGTGTGTGTATATACAATGTTCTCGATAGTATCAGTCTGCGCCCTTTGTGCGTGGCTTGAAGGAGATAGTAGGCGCAAGAGGAAGTATAAAGCGCAGCAGCGGATAACTGGAGGGTCAAGTGTAGTAGGTGGTGCTCAGGTAACCAAATTAGAAGTGGTATCAGGGCATGGTGGTTACCTAAGGAGTGTATTTTAGGTGAGGGGAGGAATATATATGTCAAATTGGAGGAAATCTGTTAGAGACTCGGGACTTTGAATTACTCTGGACTGTAGATATATTAGCAAACTACCTAGGCGAGTATCTGACATGCGGATAGAGATGTCATACTTACAGTAGCTTCCCCTACCGATATTGAGGGTATGTGAAGATATGCACAGGCTAGAGTAAAAACCTAGACCCTTAGTGACAATAGCCTAGGACCTCTATAAGAGCTATTGAGGGTTAATAGCAGTGGATATAGAGTATTAATAGATCTATCCAGGCGCTCTTCAGTGGAATTAAGGATATGAGCATAGTCTATTATGCTTAGGAGGTTGGAGATCGCTTGGTGTAGAAGGAGTAACTTGTGGTGGCTTGGTTGCCCGCGGAGATGGTGTGCGGAGTTAGGCCAGGAGGAAGGACAAGTCTAGTTGCGGTCTGGATATCGCGAGAGGAGATGGTGGATAACTTGTTGTAAGCGGTGAGCCTGGAGGACTCTGTAGCGATACACTTAAAGAGGTCAAAGGGAAGTTAGTATAAGATCTTAATAAGGAAGAGTATAAGATTTACCTAGAATAAGAGAGTTTATCACTGACATGGCACGCTGAGAGATATTCAGGTTAGGATAAAGGTATTTAAGAACTGCAAATGTATGAGTTGTTGCTAGTTGGAGAGAAGAGGTTATATATACAAACCCCGAAGAATGTAGAGGGAGAAAGTGCCCTTCGATATCTTTTTGTGTGTTCTCGTTTTAGTGCTATTGTCCAACGGGGTAGTGGTGGTATGAATTTTGCCTTTGTTATTGTTTTCAGAGCTTGTAGGACTGTTGAAGGCCTGCTTAGAATGGGTATTATTATTGGTGGCCTGAGTAGGCATTTTAGGATGGCAGTAGAAGGGGAGATAGTGTAATAGGAGATAGAAGGGTAGTAGAGGGGTTGATAACAAGGGCTTTGTGCTTGGATAGACTGTGATATATGAATGGAAGAATAAGTTGTTACTACAAGGGTAGATTTGGAACTTAGCTTGGTGACTTAGAAGTAGGTAGGTAGGCAGGTGGGTGATAATAAATACTAAGCAAGACTATAGGCAGAATATTATTAAGGGTATAATATAGTGGAAGTGATAAGAGAAATAGGGGAAGGCTTTGTAGAGAGTATAATAAAGAGATAGATTGTATATAGTTTAGTTAAGATTGAGTATATGGGGACAATCTAGTTAGAGAGAAGTTACTTAAGTAGCTAGGGCTAGTATAATATCTACTACTAGTGAGTTACTATACTAATTACTTATCCTCTAGTAACCAGGAAGTTAAGTATAAGAGAGGCTAGTGGTTACCTGAGGAGTTATAGTGAAGTAAGGAGTAGTTACCTGAGGAGTTGTGGTGAAGTGAGGATAGGTGACCTGAGGAGCTATGGTGAAGTAAGGAGTGGTGACCTGAGGAGCTACAGTAAAGTGAGGAGTGGTGACCTAAGGAGTTGTGGTGAAGTGAGGATAGGTAACCTAAGGAGCTATGGTGAAGTGAGGAGTGATGACCTAAGGAGCTATAGTGAAGTGAGGAGTGGTGACCTGAGGAGTTGTGGTGAAGTGAGGAGTGGTGACCTGAGGAGCTATGGTGAAGTGAGGAGTAGTGACCTAAGGAGCTATAGTATAGTAAGGAGTAGTAAAGTAAGGATAGATATCAAAAGAAGGAGTTAGAA